AACCGAATACCCACTTCGGTCCTAGACCTAGCCGAATACCCACTTCGGTCCTAGACCTAGCCGAATACCCTCTCGGTTCCTGACCAAGCCGAATACCCACTTCGACCCTAGACCTAGCCGAGTACCCTCTCGGTCCTAGACCTAGTCGGATACCTTCTCGGTCCTAGACCTAGCCGGATACTCCCTCGGTTCCAGGCCAGGCCGAACATCCCCTCGGCCCCAGATCAGGCCGAATACCCCTTCGGGCCTAGACCAGGCCGAATACCTCGTCGGCCTTAGGCTTGACCAAAGACTTAAGGCAAGGAGAACCCACATAAAACACGTGGCAAATTACATGCCCATTATGCAATAACTACCATTCCTGATTAAGAGAAGATTAAGGTTAATTAAAATGTTACCCATCTCCCAAAATAAAAGGCCCACCAGGCCCACTCATGTCACTATAAATACACAGGTGATGGGACATAAATGAGGTACGTTATTATCCAATATAAAGCCTTTATTGCTCTGAACCGAATACTTACTTGATCGTCGGAGTGCCTTTGCATGTACCCTCCCCCACCCCTCGGAGATAGTATTCGGTCGGCACCTAAGACTTAGAAGACCAAGAAGGAAGAACAACAAGAGGAGTGTTTCTACGCAGGAACATTTTGGCACCCACCGTGGGGCCGAAACCAAAACGGTTCTCGACCCTGAAGCAAGATGGTAATGACAAGGAGTCAGCAGGAGAACGCAACCGATTACCCTTTCGGAATGCCCCGAGACACCCCCAGGCGACAAACTAACCAGAATGAGGAGGGAATGGAAGAATCATATGTGGACCGGTCCCAGCAACCTAACCCGTCCTCGGCCATCGAACAACTGAAAGCCGAAATGATGGAACTCAAGAGGCTCCGAGAAAAGGATGCCCACGAATTATCAGTCTTGAGAAGAGAGAACGCCGAACTCAGAAGTGATAACCGATCGTGGCATCCGTCTCACGACATCCCTAACACACAATCCACCCGGGATCACGGGGATTCATCAGGATGGTACAGGGAAACAAGGGATCCAAAGCCCCCAGCAGGAGTGACAACTACTACTCTTGATCAGCAACGCCGACAAGGGAGGACACCATTCACCCTGGACATCACCGGAGCCCGTTTACCCGATAATTGGAAAAACTTGGCCCTGGAGAAGTATGACGACACTACCGATCCCGAGGAGCACCTTGACGCGTTCGTCACTCAGGTCAGTCTGTACACCGATGATGATGCGATCATGTGTAAGGTCTTCCCTACTTCGTTGAAAGGACCAGCACTCAATTGGTTCACGAGACTCCCTCCCGGATCGATTGATTCGTTCACAACCTTATCATCCCGTTTCATGATACAATTCGCCACGAGCCGCCCTCACCAACTCACGTCAATCGCGTTAGTCAACATACGTCAAGAAAAGAAGGAACCCCTCAGAACATTCATGGAAAGATTCGGGAAAATGACTTTGTCCATCTGGGATCTGGATCCCGCGGTGGCCATGCACCAACTCACCACGGTACTGAGGTCGGGTCCTTTCGTAAATGGCTTGTGCAACAAGTCATGGGCCTCTTGAGTTTGGGCTTTTATGTCCACATCATCTTCCATCATGGCTGAAAAGACAATTGGAAAGAAATATCTTCTACACTCCTAGAAAGTCTATGTCTCCATCTCAATCTCCATGTTCATTTAAACTTATCCGAAGATAATTTCCTATGATTGCCTCATATGCCATGACAATCAATAAATCACAGGGTCAAACATTAGATAAAGTTGGATTGTACCTATCTAAACCAATATTTAGTCATGGTCAACAGTACATGGCAGCTTAGAAAGTCAACAATAAATGTGATTTGAAGATTTTTAATACATGATAAGGACAACAAATCATTGAATACAGCCATCAATGTAGTCTTCAAAAAGGTTTTTGAAAATCTATAATAGGTGCATGTTTATTAAATTCAATACTCAATCCAAATGATATCCATAACAACATATTTTGGCAAATTCCACTCATAATATAACTTAACCTTTCCATTTTTCCAAACTTTTGATTCATCTGCTCTTCATCCTTTCAATTTTAAGTATGTGTTTTCCAAATTTTTTCTGTCGTGCTAATTTTGGTTGTAAGTGATCTTTTTAATCTTGTGATTTTTTTTTCTGTTGAATTGTAAGTTGATTAGTATGATGCAAAATTATTAGTTGATGTCCTTAGCTAAACATTTGATATCAAAACTGTACCAGTTGGCGCCCACCTTTGACCCGGTCAAAGGTCGAACACACCAAAACCAAAAGAGACCCCTTCGGCCCTAGACCAAACCGAATACCCACTTCGGTCCTAGACCTAGCCGAATACCCACTTCGGTCCTAGACCTAGCCGAATACCCTCTCGGTTCCTGACCAAGCCGAATACCCACTTCGACCCTAGACCTAGCCGAGTACCCTCTCGGTCCTAGACCTAGTCGGATACCTTCTCGGTCCTAGACCTAGCCGGATACTCCCTCGGTTCCAGGCCAGGCCGAACATCCCCTCGGCCCCAGATCAGGCCGAATACCCCTTCGGGCCTAGACCAGGCCGAATACCTCGTCGGCCTTAGGCTTGACCAAAGACTTAAGGCAAGGAGAACCCACATAAAACACGTGGCAAATTACATGCCCATTATGCAATAACTACCATTCCTGATTAAGAGAAGATTAAGGTTAATTAAAATGTTACCCATCTCCCAAAATAAAAGGCCCACCAGGCCCACTCATGTCACTATAAATACACAGGTGATGGGACATAAATGAGGTACGTTATTATCCAATATAAAGCCTTTATTGCTCTGAACCGAATACTTACTTGATCGTCGGAGTGCCTTTGCATGTACCCTCCCCCACCCCTCGGAGACAGTATTCGGTCGGCACCTAAGACTTAGAAGACCAAGAAGGAAGAACAACAAGAGGAGTGTTTCTACGCAGGAACATTTTGGCACCCACCGTGGGGCCGAAACCAAAACGGTTCTCGACCCTGAAGCAAGATGGTAATGACAAGGAGTCAGCAGGAGAACGCAACCGATTACCCTTTCGGAATGCCCCGAGACACCCCCAGGCGACAAACTAACCAGAATGAGGAGGGAATGGAAGAATCATATGTGGACCGGTCCCAGCAACCTAACCCGTCCTCGGCCATCGAACAACTGAAAGCCGAAATGATGGAACTCAAGAGGCTCCGAGAAAAGGATGCCCACGAATTATCAGTCTTGAGAAGAGAGAACGCCGAACTCAGAAGTGATAACCGATCGTGGCATCCGTCTCACGACATCCCTAACACACAATCCACCCGGGATCACGGGGATTCATCAGGATGGTACAGGGAAACAAGGGATCCAAAGCCCCCAGCAGGAGTGACAACTACTACTCTTGATCAGCAACGCCGACAAGGGAGGACACCATTCACCCTGGACATCACCGGAGCCCGTTTACCCGATAATTGGAAAAACTTGGCCCTGGAGAAGTATGACGACACTACCGATCCCGAGGAGCACCTTGACGCGTTCGTCACTCAGGTCAGTCTGTACACCGATGATGATGCGATCATGTGTAAGGTCTTCCCTACTTCGTTGAAAGGACCAGCACTCAATTGGTTCACGAGACTCCCTCCCGGATCGATTGATTCGTTCACAACCTTATCATCCCGTTTCATGATACAATTCGCCACGAGCCGCCCTCACCAACTCACGTCAATCGCGTTAGTCAACATACGTCAAGAAAAGAAGGAACCCCTCAGAACATTCATGGAAAGATTCGGGAAAATGACTTTGTCCATCTGGGATCTGGATCCCGCGGTGGCCATGCACCAACTCACCACGGTACTGAGGTCGGGTCCTTTCGTAAATGGCTTGTGCAAAAAGCCACCCAGAGACTTGGATGATCTTAGACAAAGAGCCACCAAGTACATGCAGATGGAGGAATTGCCCGAGTTCTGAAATCAGAACCGGTCCGACCTCTTCCTCGAAAAGAAAGAAGTTGAGAAAGAACACCTCCCAAGGCCCCGCCCCCGGGACCTACCCGATAGAGAAAGAACCAACAGAGGGCCTCGGTATATGCAATATACGCCGCTCAACACCAACCGGACCAAGGTGTTAGAGCAGGCACTGGCAACCTAAATACTCACAGTACCTCATCGTGCTATGACTCCGCCCCACGCAGATAAAACCAAGACA